TCAGTTTGGAGGGAGAGTGTTGAAGGAAGATTCTTGAGCTTTTGCTGTAACTACACGTAGTCTGACTATAAAGGTCATGGCTGTGACTAAAGCAGTAACATGGCTAGAGACACAGACTTTCACTGGAGCATGCTTTCTCAGTGACTCGATGAGTATGCTCAGGAAGATAGAGAAGGGCTGGGTCCGAAGGCAGTGGTTGGTGGCTCTACAGAATTCACGACTGACAAGAATTAGTTTCATTTTCATGCCAGTACATGTAGGGGTACTAGGAAATGAGCAAGCTGATAGACTTGCAGGTAAGGCTACTGTGAAAGCCGGACAAGCCATGGACCAGGCTGATATACTGAATGCTCTAAGAGAAAACATGTGCATGAACCAAGTGAGATTTGTGAATCTGCAACCATGGTCAAACTGCAAGAACAACATGTTGAATGGTGTGTCGCCAAGCAAGAACACTATGCGGGTAGCCAAAGAAGAAGAATAAATGAACAAGAACTGGTGTCGTTAGCCGCTACACGCTGCGGGATTTACTGAGGAGGGGATCCGAGCACTTATGGACTGAGTGGTTCGACGTGCAATGAGGATAATCTGTCGACTAGCTAACTCACTAACTAACTAATAATATCTCCTTCTCCTCTCTTCTCAGTACCATCCTAGCAGGCACTCGACCCTTCTCGGCAAGGTCAATTGAGGTTAAATTTTCATTTATTTCATCTGACTGCTTACGTATTTATATTCTTGAGAATTAAGTAGCATACACATCAGTGTATAATATGCCAATAACAATCTGATGTTTTCAGAGGAGCAGATTTATCATTCCCCCTTTATTTCTTATGGGAAACTTTGTTTGGTATACGTCCTGTCTGGTACACAAACAGGAGCCATGAACAGATTTAGTACATTTACTGCGGTGGGACTGAACATGAAACTGATGTGTGACTGTGAGGTGATGAATTTGATGTGAAATTTGGTAAACACTGATCCCTAGAAACTTGTCATGTCAATTTCACTGTCCTAAGAGCACTCCCCCCCCCCCCCCCCTTTCCCCCATCTATATCTGGACAGACACATCTGTTTTCTTGTCCATGTTTGCCACCGGAAATCGTTCCTGGGCCACATCCACTTCCATAAGCTTGGATGTGGTCATCAAGGTTGACGGTTGAGAGGACTGATTTCACTGCACCAGGGTTGATCTGTCTATGCAGAACTAACCCACCACTGAGAACATCACACAAAACACAAGCTCTGCAACACGGGTGATGATCCTTGGGGATGTCTGCCAAAGTGACCTGTAAACTTAACAATGTAGTCTGTGACATGAATCTATGATGTTGAAAGTCTCATCCAACTGCCCATGGCTTCACTGCTTAGCCACGGTGTAAATGACCAAGCCAACTTGAATTTAAACAAATGGGAAGCAGAAGTTGATATTACGGTCAGATAACTGGAAGAGGGAGCAAGAAGGCTCATACACACACACACACACACATATGTGAGCACACACACACACACACATTTGAGCACACATACACACACGCACGCACGCACGCATGCACACACGCACGCACACACACATAAATGCGAGCACACACACACTCACACATATGCGAGCACACACACACACACGGAGTTACGAACCAACCTACTTACCTACTTACCTGATCTTCTTATATTTGTATCATTTTGACAGGACTTTGTAGCCTTGTGCAAGCCCAGAAAAATAGTGAACTGACTTTCAATGATGTCAGGAACCTGGTTTGTCCAACACCAGTTGGTGAGTGAATCACAAATAAAAAACTTTCATTCCTTCAGCAAAATGTTTATGTAAACTTCTCAAGAACTGTTTCATTCCTTTAACAAAATGTTTATATAAACTTTACAAGAATTCTCTCATTCCTTTACTAAAATCTTTAGGAAAACTTCAGAAAAACTGTTACATTCCTTCATCAAAATGTTTATGTAAACTTGCACTTACAAATCAAACTGAGGGAACATTAGCTCCACTGTCTCTGTGATTCAGTTCAACAGCTGCTGGAGTTTTTAAACAAATTCAGAAACACATTGTCAGTTTCATGGCATGGGTTGGAATCAGTTTTTACTGATAATAAAATGAATCCATTTAGAGGGCTTTATTTAAATATACTGTGGGAATCTAGTGGTAGTAATATCTGATGATAGAGGTATCTGGTGGTAGTAATATCTGATGATAGAGGTATCTGGTGGTGGTGGTAGTAATATCTGATGATAGAGGCAACTGTTGATATTAATATCCAGTGATATAGTGGTGTAGAATAGGAGTTGGGGAGAAGATCTGGAGTCTAAGAATTTAGGACAGCATTGCATTGGGATGTTGACCTCCCACATAAAAAATAAACTTTCCTCACTTTTACTCACAGCAGAGGTATGTCTAGGATAAGGCAGGTAGGGCAGACATCCTGGAACCGCTTGAAGGGGCCGCCAAACAACTCAGTGTTTTTTTTAGTGTTGGCATCTCATCTGGAGGGACAATGCTGAGTTAATGTTGGCATCTTATCTGGAGGGACAATGCTGAGTTAATGTTGGCATCTTATCTGGAGGGACAATGCTGAGTTAATGTTGGCATCTCATCTGGAGGGACAATGCTGAGTTAATGTTGGTGTCTCATCTGGAGGGACAATGCTGAGTTAATGTTTGCGTCTTATCTGGAGGGACAATGCTGAGTTAATGTTGGCGTCTCATCTGGAGTGACAATGCTGAGTTAATGTTGGCATCTCATCTGGAGGGACAATGCTGAGTTAATGTTAGCGTCTCATCTGGAGGGACAATGCTGAGTTAATGTTGGCATCTCATCTGGAGGGACAATGCTGAGTTAATGTTGGCATCTCATCTGGAGGGACAATGCTGAGTTAATGTTGGCATCTCATCTGGAGGGACAATGCTGAGTTAATGTTGGTGTCTCATCTGGAGGGACAATGCTGAGTTAATGTTGGCATCTCATCTGGAGGGACAATGCTGAGTTAATGTTGGCATCTCATCTGGAGGGACAATGCTGAGTTTCATGTTAGTAAAGAAGTTTGGAAGGAATTTTAGTTGCAAAAGTTTCTTAATGATACACTACAAAGTCTTTACAAGTAGTCCAAAATTAAGCAATATCTAATGCAAATGACACAAATAGTGTGACCCCCTGCCATAGGCACCAACTACCTGAATTATGCCCCTGCCTTATAGAGGATTTAATCCCAGGTCTACCAGATAAGAGCTTAGTATTCTAACCAAATTGCCAGTCAATATCAGTTATAGTTAGCCCAAATATTTCATAGCATGTCTACATGCAAATAAACTGTCAATGTTTCACACACGGACACTCTCATGTACACAAGTAAATAAACTGTCAAAGTTTCACACAAGGACACTCTCACGTCCACAAGTAAATAAACTGTCAATGTTTCACTCACGGGCACTCTCATGTACACAAGTAAAAAAACTGTCAATGTTTCACAGACGGACACTCTCATGTACACAAGTAAATAAACTAACAATGTTTCAAACACTGACACTCTCATGTACACAAGTAAATAAACTGTCAATGTTTTGCTCATAGACACTTTCATGTACACAAGTAAATAAACTGTCAATGTTTCACTCATGGACACTCTCATGTACACAAGTAAAAAAACTGTCAATGTTTCACACACAGACACTCTCATGTACACAAGTAAGTAAACTGTAAATGTTTCAAACAAAGACACTCTTATGTACACAAGTAAATAAACTGTCAATGTTTCACTCATAGACACTCTCATGTACACAAGTAAATAAACTGTCAATGTTTCACTCATGGACACTCTCATGTACACAAGTAAATAAACTGTCAATGTTTCACACATGGACACTCTCATGTACACAAGTAAGTAAACTGTAAATGTTTCAAACACGGACACTCTCATGTCCACAAGTAAATAAACTGTCAATGTTTCACTCATGGACACTCTCATGTACACAAGTAAATAAACTGTCAATGTTTCACTCACAGGCACTCTCATGTACACAAGTAAATAAACTGTCAATGTTTCACTCATGGACACTTTCATGTACACAAGTAAAAAAAACTGTCAATGTTTCACACACAGACACTCTCATGTACACAAGTAAATAAACTGTCAATGTTTCACTCATGGACACTCTCACGTCCACAAGTAAATAAACTGTCAATGTTTCACTCACGGGCACTCTCATGTACACAAGTAAATAAACTGTCAATGTTTCACTCATGGACACTCTCATGTACACAAGTAAAAAAACTGTCAATGTTTCACTCATGGACACTCTCATGTACACAAGTAAAAAAAACTGTCAATGTTTCACTCACGGGCACTCTCATGTACACAAGTAAATAAACTGTCAATGTTTCACTCATGGACACTCTCATGTACACAAGCTAATAACTGTCAATGTTTCACACATGGACACTCTCATGTACACAAGCTAATAACTGTCAATGTTTCACACATGGACACTCTCATGTACACAAGTAAACTTTCACACATGGATATCTCATGTACACAAACACGGACATGTTTCACTCATGTACACTCTCATGTACACAAGTAAATAAACTCTCAATGTTTCACTCATGGACACTCTCATGTACACAAGTAAATAAACTGTCAATGTTTCACACACAGACACTCTCATGTACACGATTAAGTAAACTGTAAATGTTTAAAACACGGACACTCTCACGTCAACAAGTAAATAAACTGTAAATGTTTCACTTACGGACACTCTCATGTACACAAGTAAATAAACTGTCAATGTTTCACACACAGACACTCTCATGTACACAAGTAAATAAACTGTCAATGTTTCACGCACAGACACTCTCATGTACACAAGTAAATAAACTGTCAATGATTTACACACGGACACTGACATGTATAACACTGATACAAGTTAGCTAGAGGTTTCACCTTTGTGATATATAAATCAGACAGTATCTTTTAGCTGTTGTTTCTTCCCAGTGTATCAACTTCAAATTGCCAATGCCACAAACAAGGGACACTGGATGGAGATTAATTCTAGAGTGGTCTCCCTCAATAAAACAGGTCAGCAGAAACCATTGACTTTACCAGACACTGTTGAGAATCATTTTATCTAAATGTTTTGTCTCTATTATCAGTATTTTAACACTGTTGAGAATCATTTTATCTGATCGTTTTGATTGTTTTGTCTCTATTATCAGTATTTTAACTGTTGAGAATCATTTTATCTGATTCTGTTGTCTATATTATCAGTATTTTAACACTTTTGAGATCATTTTATCTCTGTTGTCTCTATTATCAGTATTTTAACACTGTTAAGAATCGTTTTATCTGATTGTGTTGTCTCTATTATCAGTATTTTGTTAAATGAGAGAAGTGGAGTACAGAAGAAAAAGAGAATAAATCCAGTGTAGAAGTGGAGAGTGAAGAGGATAAACCCAGTGTAGAAGTGGAGAGTGAAGAGGATAAACCCAGTGTAGAAGTGGAGAGGTACAGAAGAGATAGTGAGAGAATGAGCCCAGTGTAGAATTGGAGAAGCACAGAAGAGAGAGTGAGAGAATCAACCCAGTGTAGAAGTGGAGAGGTACAAAAGAGAGAGTGAGAGAATCAACCCAGTGTAGAAGTGGAGAGGTACAGAAGAGAGAGTGAAGAGGATAAACCCCAGTGTAGAAGTGGAGACGTACAGAAGAGAGAGTGAGAGAATGAGCCCAGTGTAGAAGTGGAGAGGTACAGAAGAGAGAGTGAGAGAATCAACCCAGTGTAGAAGTGGAGAGGTACAGAAGAGAGAGTGAGAGAATGAACCCAGTGTAGAAGTGGAGAGGTACAGAAGAGATAGTGAGAGAATGAGCCCAGTGTAGAAGTGGAGAGGTACAGAAGAGAGAGTGAGAGAATCAACCCAGTGTAGAAGTGGAGAGGTACAGAAGAGAGAGAGTCAACCCAGTGTAGAAGTGGAGAGGTACAGAAGAGAGAGAGAGAGAGAGAATCAACCCAGTGTAGAAGTGGAGAAGCACAGAAGAGAAGGAGAGAGTAAACCCAGTGTAGAAGTGGAGAGGTACAGAAGAGATAGTGAGAGAATGAGCCCAGTGTAGAAGTGGAGAAGCACAGAAGAGAAGGAGAGAGTGAACCCAGTGTAGAAGTGGAGAAGCTGAGAAGAGAGAGAGAGAATCAACCCAGTGTAGAAGTGGAGAGGTACAGAAAAGAGTGAGAGAATGAACCCAGTGTAGAAGTGGAAGAAGCACAGAAAAGAGCGAGAGAATGAACCCAGAGTAGATGTGGAGAAGCCGAGAAGATAGAGAGATTCAACACAGTGTAGAAGTGGAAAAACACAGAAAAGAGTGAGAGAATGAATCCAGTGTATAAGTGGAGAGGCCGAGAAGAAGAGAGAAAATCAACGCAGCATAATTAAACATAATGTCCAGATTATAAAGGAGAAAAGGCAGAGGATGCACAGATGCATTATTCACTTTGAGGCAAGTCTGTGAGAAAGCCATTAATACCAAACAGAATATTGTGTTTGTAGATCAGGAAATGGCTTTTGATAGAGTGGATAGAAACAAACTGTGGTCTGTTCTTGAGAACTACAGGGTACAAGGACAGTTATTAGAGAACATCATAGCCATGTACCACACAAGCCAATGTACCACACAAGCCAAAGTGCAATAAGAACACAAGAAGGCATATCAAATATGTTCACAGTCAACACAGGTGTGAGACAGGGATGTGTGCTCTCCCCATTTTGATTAAACATTTATATAGACATAATATGTAATCACCCACATTAAAAGAACTACTATTTGCTGACGACCAATGCTTGTTCTACCCTGAAGAACATAGATTGCAAGACCACATTAACAGGTTAAACTCATCATGCAGTAAGTACAACATAAAGATCAATGCAAACAAAACTGAAACAATGCAAGTTAGTAGAAACCCTGGCCCACTACACATACAACTGAATGGTTCTGTCCCGAATCAAGTTAGAAAGTTTAAATATCTAGGAAGTATGATCACAGAAGATGGTAGAATTGACAGAGAAATAGAAACCAGATGTCAGAAAGCAAGTGCACATATATACCAACTGTCACCAGTATTAAGACATCCAAGCATAACTATGAGTGCAAAGAGACAGATTATTAACAGCATATTCATTCTGAGATAAGGCGCCTGAGAAAAAGTAGCCAGCCTAACCATCCGAGATCAAGTGAATAATGAAACTATCAGGCAAACTATGGGAATGACACCTTGTACTAGATTCATCGAGAAACAGCAGATCAAGTGGTTTGGCCATCTTGTTAGAATGCCACAAGATCAAATACCATCACAAGCACTACATCTCAGAAGATCAGCTACAAGAGCAAGAGTGCGGCCACGGAAAAATGGATCGACAACATTAAAGACACTCTACGCCTTCACGGCATGACAATAGCCAGTGGCAGCCAACGTGCACTGGGTCGCAAATTATTTCTCACCACGCTTCTTAACGGCAGAAGTGGTTCATGATGATGATCATTATTATTGACTAAAGGATTTTTGGACAGGCTTTTGCTGACAGAACCATCAGAGCCTTCTCTTCACTCTCTGTCCGAACCAAATGTATTTTTCCCTGATCATATCGAAAACTGTTTTCCTTTTGGACTTTCGCTGGCCACTCTCTGCACTCCCAGTCCATGTGATCATGTTTTCCCTACACATGTCTGATTAGATTTTTCCTTTTTGGCATGTGAAAAGATGTTTTTCCCTGTCCATGTCTGATTATATTTTTCCCCTGTCTATGTCTGATTATATTTTTCCCCTGTCCATGGGAAAAGATGTTTTTACTCTGTCCATATTAAAGACGTTTTCCCTTTGTCCATATCAGAAGATGTTTTCTCTCTGTCCATAATAAATATTTTCCCCCTGTCCATGAGAGAAGATGTTTTCCTTTTATCCTAGTCATGTTTTCTCTCTCTCTCTCTCTCTCTCTCTCTCTCTCTCTCTCTCTCTCTCTCTCTCTCTCTTCTCTCTCTCTCTCTCTCTGTCCAGATAAGATGATTGTATAGCGGATGCTTAACTAACACAAATACCATTATCATCAATCAGGATGTTTCTTCTACCAAGCAGAATATATCATAGCCAGATTTATTTCGTATATTCAGACCCAAGGAACAAGTTTCAAGAATTGACATCATAGCGCTCAGGACATTTTCATATGCCCTCTGTCCCCATCTTCAGCAGTTAGCACAAAGAACCTATACTAATGGTCTTGCCTTTCTTCTCAGTGTAGTGAGCCAGCAAGACCCTCTGGTCACAGCCAGGTACATCATTCTCTCCAGGCCATAATAGTCTTGTTTCTCTTCTGTCTTTGTTACTTGTTCCCACAGGGCCCTGACCACACTGGCCATGTCATGCATCAGTTCACCACCCAGTGGTGCAGACTCAGCCATTCTGTTCCCCCTGTTCATTCCCCCACCACGCCTGCAGAAACAATCCAAATTATGCTCACTACCCGTGACCTTCCAAGTGAAGCTTGTCACTCTGCTTAAAGCAAAATTGTCTTCTCCTTTCTAAGCATGCCTTCTGAGTCTGTTACAATTACAAGATGAGAATGCATCTTGTTCTTTAGCCACCGAATTGCTGCAGTTACCACCTCTACCTCCATTCTTATGCTAGATGTTGTGGTGTCGTTTGCCAGGCTATCCTGCACTAAAGATTTTCCACTGGCTTTTGCTACGAACCCTCAGGCACTTCTCTTCCCTCTTAAAACCGAACCATCTGTATCGATAATTAGATCATCTGGACGAGAACTGAATCAACTGTTGGACTTCCGCTGGCCACTCTCTGCACTCCCAGTCCAATGTGATCACAACCCTACACAGGTCAGACTTTTCCTCTGGCACTCGGACCCACTCCTCTCCTCACCCAATGTTCTCCAGCATACGTACTTGTCTTATAGTGTCTTCTGCTTGAGCCATCCATGATTTTCCCTTTTCAGCCTGTGATCCTTGTCTGCATCCAAATAATAACATGAACTTATTAAACTTGCTTGATTGACAGGGAGCTGGTTGTAGTTGTAGAATTCAGTTTCTGTAGAGTTTTGTCATGGGATTATTCACATCACTGTTGAAATGATTACTTTGATTGTTCTCCAACAGGAAGTGACAACATCACAACTGGTTCAGTCATTAAACTGATGTCACCTAGTTCCTGCACATGCCCACTGCGTACATACACAAACAGTTCAGAAAAATTCTACTTGCTGTCAACAGATGTGAACAAACTTGTAGACCGCAATGGAAACTATGTGTACGTACTGTCTGTGCCTTATCTGTTCAGTTGCTGCATGTCAGTTTTTTTTCTTCAAATATTTATCACAAAACTTATGATCACATAAAATATATCCTTGTCAGTGGAAAGGAGAGACATTTCACCAAACGTAAACATGTAAAAACAAGAGAAGGTTGAAGTGAAATAGAAATCAAACAGAAAACAGAGATGGTAAGAATATTTTTCAGTTTGATGATAAAAATATTAACACTGAAAGAAATAAACATCCACAAATTAAAAAATGAGAACTGTAAATTGTGTGTATAATCAACCCTGCTGTATGGTGCAGAGATCTAGATAGTGAACATGTATGTATACACAACCCTGCTGTGTGGTGCAGAGACCTAGATAGTGAACATGTATGTATACACAACCCTGCTGTGTGGTGCAGAGACCTAGATAGTGAACATGTATGTATACACAACCCTGTTGTGTGGTGCAGAGATCTAGATAGTGAACATGTATGTATACTCAACCCTGCTGTGTGGTGCAGAGATTTAGATAGTAAACATGTATGTATACCCAACCCTGCTGTGTGGTGCAGAGATCTAGATAGTGAACATGTAAGTATACACAACCCTGCTGTGTGGTGCAGAGATCTAGATAGTGAACATGTATGTATACACAACCCTGCTGTATGGTGCAGAGATCTAGATAGTGAACATGTATGTATACACAACCCTGCTGTGTGGTGCAGAGATCTAGATAGTGAACATGTATGTATACACAACCCTGCTGTGTGGTGCAGAGATCTAGATAGTGAACATGTATGTATACTCAACCCTGCTGTGTGGTGCAGAGACCTAGATAGTGAACATGTATGTATACACAACCCTGCTGTGTGGTGCAGAGACCTAGATAGTGAACATGTATGTATACCCAACCCTGCTGTGTGGTGCAGAGACCTAGATAGTGAACATGTATGTATACACAACCCTGCTGTGTGGTGCAGAGACCTAGATAGTGAACATGTATGTATACACAACCCTGCTGTGTGGTGCAGAGACCTAGATAGTGAACAATCAATTACAGAGCTGATTGTGGATATACAGAAGAATGTGTTGTATTCTGTGGAAACAAAAACAATCTTGTATTTTGTGGAAACAAAAACAATCTTGTATTTTGTGGAAACAAAAGCAATCAAATACAGCGATTTAGGAGGGATGAAATGAAAATAGTACAATACACACAGAAATAAAATAAGAGACAAATATAAATATTTATGTCACATTAAAAGACATGAAACTAACAAAAGCCCCTGTACTAAAAAAGAAACATTCAAATAGGCAGGTTTGTGTTGGTTCCAGAACCACACGTGGGAGAACAAAGAATAGACCCCTTCCCCCCCCCCCCCCCCCCCCCACCACCGCCCACCAACAAGCTGTCATAGAAGGTGACTAATTATGGATATTTTCCTTCCAGATTACAGTGCATCTGCCTGAGAGGCTTTGAACCAACAGTCTGCACACAAATATGCCAGATCTGTAAAATGGATGTCCATGCAAAACTCAAGTCTGCATTAAGATTAAAGTCCGGAAGTGGATGAACAAACATAACTTTCTGTTTGAGTTTACAGCTGGTGAACGCTAAAAATAAGAAACAGGCAAGCAAGGGGCCGACAGCGATACAAATGTGATAACCTCAAGAGATGTTCATATAGCAGCCTCAGAGAGTCTACAACAGGAGCAAGAGACAAAGAGTGTAGGAGATCCATTGCAATCAGCCTTCACTGTGGAGATGACACCTGATCAGTTGATTGATACAATCAATAATTTGATGTAGAGGGAATATAGAAAACAAATGCCACTTTGGGGTTATTATCTAGCTGTTTGGTTTAGAAAAATGTAACATTGAAGTTTGAATAAATCTGACAAAAATATTGTTATTTCAGATATAGTTACCTACTTGATGAGAAGTCGACTTTCCTGAGAGTCTCTGAGCCGGGCACCTATGCCATCAAGGGAGTATCTGTGCCTCATGTGTATCTTCAGCAATTTGTGGGCAGTTACAACCAATGCAAGAACAACCTCACCTTGTTTGTTTAACCAAATGACTCATGTTGTTGCACTAACAGTTGTTGCACTATCAGTTGTTGCACTATCAGTTGTTGCACTATCAGTTGTTGCATTATCAGTTGTTGCACTATCAGTTGTTGCACTATCAGTTGTTGCATTATCAGTTGTTAAATATCAGTTTTAAACCCATCAGGCCTGTCAAGAGTTAATTAAAACTCTAACTCTGAATTCTGCAGACAGTGAAAGACTTGTGTCAGACAGTGGAAGTTAGACTTGTGTCAGACAGTGACAGACTTGTGTCAGACAGTGGAAGTTAGACTTGTGTCAGACAGTGGAAGTTAGACTTGTGTCAGACAGTGGAAGTCAGACTTGTATCAGACAGTGAAAGACTTGTGTCAGACAGTGAAAGACTTGTGTCAGACAGTGGAAGTCAGACTTGTATCAGACAGTGGAAGTTAGACTTGTGTCAGACAGTGGAAGTTAGACTTGTGTCAGACAGTGGAAGTTAGACTTGTGTCAGACAGTGGAAGTTAGACTTGTGTCAGACAGTGGAAGTTAGACTTGTATCAGACAATGGAAGTTAGACTTGTGTCAGACAGTGGAAGTTAGACTTGTGTCAGTCAGTGAAAGACTTGTATCAGACAATGGAAGTTAGACTTGTGTCAGACAGTGGAAGTTAGACTTGTATCAGACAGTGGAAGTTAGACTTGTGTCAGACAGTGGAAGTTAGACTTGTGTCAGACAGTGGAAGTTAGACTTGTATCAGACAGTGGAAGTCAGACTTGTGTCAGACAGTGGAAGTTAGACTTGTGTCAGACAGTGGAAGTTAGACTTGTATCAGACAATGGAAGTTAGACTTGTGTCAGACAGTGGAAGTTAGACTTGTATCAGACAATGGAAGTAAGACTTGAATCAGACAGTGGAAGTTAGACCTGTATCAGACAATGGAAGTTAGACCTGTATCAGACAATGGAAGTTAGACTTGCGTCAGACAATGGAAGTTAGACTTGTGTCAGACAATGGAAGTAGGACCTGTATCAGACAATGGAAGTTAGACCTGTATCAGACAATGGAAGTTAGACTTGTGTCAGACAATGGAAGTTAGACCTGTATCAGACAATGAAAGTTAGACTTGTGTCAGACAATGGAAGTTAGACTTGTGTCAGACAGTGGAAGTTAGACTTGTGTCAGACAGTGGAAGTCAGACTTGTATCAGACAGTGGAAGTTAGACTTGTGTCAGACAGTGGAAGTTAGACTTGTGTCAGACAGTGGAAGTTAGACTTGTGTCAGACAGTGGAAGTTAGACTTGTGTCAGACAGTGGAAGTCAGACTTGTGTCAGACAGTGGAAGTTAGACTTGTATCAGACAGTGGAAGTCAGACTTGTGTCAGACAGGTGAAGTTAGACTTGTATCAGACAGTGGAAGTTAGACTTGTGTCAGACAGTGGAAGTTAGACTTGTGTCAGACAGTGGAAGTTAGACTTGTATCAGACAGTGAAAGTTAGACTTGTGTCAGACAGTGGAAGTTAGACTTGTGTCAGACAGTGGAAGTTAGACTTGTATCAGACAGTGAAAGTTAGACTTGTGTCAGACAGGTGAAGTTAGACTTGTATCAGACAGTGAAAGTTAGACTTGTGTCAGACAGTGGAAGTTAGACCTGTATCAGACAGTGGAAGTTAGACTTGTATCAGACAGTGGAAGTTAGACTTGTATCAGACAGTGAAAGTTAGACTTGTGTCAGACAGTGGAAGTTAGACTTGTATCAGACAGTGGAAGTTAGACTGGTGTCAGACAGTGGAAGTTAGACTGGTGTCAGACAGTGGAAGTTAGACTTGTATCAGACAGTGAAAGTTAGACCTGTGTTTGCTTGTGGACATTGTGATGAGGACGGTTTCATTCTATTGACGTGATTACATTTTCTGCCAGGAGTCAATCACTGATCAAGCAGGTATTACTGGATGGGTGATTTATTGTTACAAACACACATGCACACACACGCAAACACACACACACTGATACGGATACACACACACTTGCAATATTCCATCCTGCTTACCACAGATGGGGATGGGAATATTTGCTGAAAGATTATTCAAATGGGACATGACAAATTTGATGAAAGAAAACATAACTTATATTTCTTCTTCTTCAGAATTCTGAGCCCTTGAGGTTTATTGCTGCAGATATCTCATTCTCTCTCTTGCTCTGATATCCTGCTGGTAACTTATAAAACAAAACAATGCATTTATTATGTTTGACATAGTGACCCTCAAACTGTATCTCTTGGAACCATTCTCACAATCATAATATCTGATGCTCCACCACAGTTTGTGTTGTTTGTGATCGCTTTTACTTCACAAACATTACAATCAACATTACTTACATCATTCTGGGGTAAATAAATTGTTTGGACACCTCCGCCCTCTTTAAATTGTATGTTTCTCCTCTGCTGCTGATAGTGATGTTTGCAGAAGATTTACCTTCTAGGACGCATATTGCTGCAGCTGAGAGGTGATGAAGACTCTCAGATGGCTTTCTCTATGAATCTAGGGCTCACTAATTAGTCCTCACTTGTAAGCACACAGCTCTTGTCCATGTCTGCCCATGCAATGCTGGGCCAATCTCTTCTCTGTGAGTCCCTATGCCTGCCATCCTCGCATGCACATCAGCATATGTGCAAGCATACTCTCTAGTACATGTGTGTGTGTGTGAAGGCATACCCTCTAGTACATGTGTGTGTGTGTGATTAACCCTCTAGTACATGTGTGTGTGTGTGAAGGCATACCCTCTAGTACATGTGTGTGTGTGTGAAGGCATATCCTCTAGTACATGTGTGTGTGTGTGATTAACCCTCTAGTACATGTGTGTGTGTGTGAAGGCATACCCTCTAGTACATGTGTGTGTGTGTGTGAAGGCATACCCTCTAGTACATGTGTGTGTGTGTGATTAACCCTCTAGTACATGTGTGTGTGTGTGAAGGCATACCCTCTAGTACATGTGTGTGTGTGAAGGCATACCCTCTAGTACATGTGTGTGTGTGTGATTACCCTCT